CGATATATATCGTTTTGTAGATTAATTCTTCAAACTATTGCTGTTGCATCTCCACTTTATGCCATATATGCAAGTCTTGTTACTCGGCATATTCTGAACGTTTCAGTCAAGAATAGTTAGGATTTATTAAGAAAATTGCAATACTGTTTTTCATAATTTCTTTAAAGTTACAGTTTTTATGGAAGTTATTGTCTAAAGCAGTTCTTTTAAATGTTTTTTTTCATGGAAATGACCTATGAACACTTCTCTATCAATGGTTTAAAGAAAACCAGTTCATTTGCTTCAAAGATGGCAAAGATATTCAAGTTCTTGTTCAGTAAAGCCCTTGTGACCAATTCAATACGCTTTGATAGTGTTTTATACAAAGCATTTCTACAAGGAATAATATCGATGAAAGGATTTTGTAACAATTATCTATATTTATCTATTTTTCTTTTGAGATTCTAGTTGATCAATTTAAGAAAAAAGAGTTTTCATTTTATAATTTATAGTAATATTGTCAAATAGTGCGAATGATACCATAAAGGAATCTTTATTAGTTAAATATTATGAAATGCTGAACAGATGTGGATATGTAAGGATTTTCTCGAGTAAGAGTATCATATGCCATTAAATAAACAACAATTATAACGAAAAGTACTAGAACTAAGGCATCAGTAATTGAAACTATTTTCTCTTGCTTGGCTTTGATAACTAAACTGAACTAGAAGATCATTATCTGTGTCTTTCTTTTTTTTCTTAAGTAACGAAATGATCTTTTCAGTGTCAAAGTTTTTCGTGAGAAAATAGACAAAATAATTACTATTACCTTCTTCTTCAGATGCAAATCAGTTAAAAAAATGAAGAAGAAAAGTTTTCAAAACAACATGTCAACATATGTAACCGGTTTAAGATTTTAGCCAAGTTCTTTCGATTATGATCCCAAGATCCTTGTGTTCTATGATGAGTTAGTCTTTAGAGTCATATTTTGTTGTTGAATTCGGGAATGTACATTTGAAATAGAAGTCAAGATGTGGTGAATTTTGCATACCAAGACATTTAAATACTAATTATTTATCAAAGAAAATAACTGGGAGGAATAAATGTGAAAAGATTTACAAAATAAAGATTGAAGTTTGCATAATCCAGTCTGGAACAGACATTAAAAAATTAGTTACCACATCTCATAAACACTTCGCTTGAAAATTTCTTTTTATTTCAAAAGAATGATATCACTTTCTTTTAAATAGAATTAATGAAAAAAATCATGAAAATTTTTAATTATGTGATCATTTAAGCAATGCCATGTTTATAACAATAGATATAAACTATATCTATAAGTACGTAAAAAAGAACTACAAAAAAAAAGAAATATCTTAATTATTCATCATTATATCTGTGTTGTAATTGAACAATAAGTTCTTTTGGTGCTATGACAAAACCTTCTTTCAGTTGTTTGAATGGTTGATGCGTTTTATTTCCACATTGAATAAAAGAGTATGTTTTGAGAAGACGAACAAGAAGTATTTTTATCTCAATCAAAGCAAAACGCATTCCAACACAATTTCTTGGTCCAGCTCCAAATGGAATCCATGCCATTGCATGTCGTTTTGTAGCAAATCGTTCAGGATAAAATATTTGTGGATCAATAGGACCCCACAAATCAGGATCATAATGTAAACGATACATATCAATAGCAATCCGTGTACCAGCTGGAATCGTACCAATACCTTTGATATGAAAATCTTCTGAACTTTGACGATTGATTACCATCGGTAATATCGGATACATACGAAGTGTTTCTCGAATAAACATATCTAAATATTCCATTTGTAATACTGTATCATAAGATGGCATATCATCTTCTGTTTTAGGAATGAAATTAGCATCGATCTCGTCTTGTAATTTTTGTTGTTCATTTGGATGAGTAGCAAGAACATAAGAAATATAACTAAGTGCTGTACTTGTTGTTTCATAACCAGCAATTACTGAATAAACCAGAAAGAACAAAGTAAACGAAGAAAATATCATGAAAAACACCCACTGAAAAGAAAAATATTGGCTGCAATTTCATGTCTGGTAAGCTTTCGATTGAGTAGTGGTTCAATATCTTCCTTATTTTTATTTTCTGTATGCGACGATTGGATATCCTGAAAAGAACACATAAATATATCCAATATATTATCCATAGTAAATACATATGAAATTCTCGACAAAGTTTTAGATTGTGTTATCATAATAAGTTCTGTTTTAATCCTTTTTAGATATGCACGTCCAAGTGTAACACAAACACAAAAAAACAAATAATCATACTTGAATACTATCTTCATCTGAGACTGATTCAAGCATTAGCTGGAGAAGATCAACGCGATTCATCGAACCAAATTTTTCACGAGTATTAATGAATTGACGTGCTTCTTGCAGAATCCATGTAGAGGGATTTTCTTGAATAAATTTTTTTGTTATCGGAATATAATACCGAAGCCAATAACGTATATTACCACCATGTATATAGATAGCTCTCCAAAGTTGATTAAGTTCAGTAATAAACATATTTAATAACATAATAAGCCTAATATTACGATTTTCACCAAACATTTGTTGAGAGTAAATTAAATATGGATCATTAATATTATTTTGCATATTTGTATCAAGTCCAAAGCCACATGACCATATAGTATCCATGGTAAATCGTTTATAATATGCATAGATATCAAATGGTTGACCTTTATTAGATTCTTCAGACATTTTTTTCATGAACGTAAGAACACTTCGATGAATGAGTGGTGTCATTTGTTTGAGTTTTGCAGACGAAAATATTGGATTTATAATGAAGCGATGTCGTTTCCAGCGAAGACTGGTAGCACTGAAAAGATGTACGTCTTTGGATTTTGGATCTTGAAGTGGAAAAGTACGGCGTGAATGAAAATTTGAAAATGATTTAATAAATACATCTTGTAATATATCAGGATCAGATATAACTAAAATTGGTGTATGTCCTTCGAAGTAACCAAAAATACGACCATATTTTTCTGTCCAATTTTTAATAGTTAAAGATAATCGTCTAGTTTTGATAACCTCTAGAAAGTTGCCGAAAAAAAGTATTGGTGGGGGACCAGGAATATTGAGATTTTTAAAAAATTCATATGCTTGTTGAATATAGAATAAATAAGCGATAATAACAAAGAATAACACTGCCAATAGAATACTAGTAATAAGTAACATATTTCTTTTGTTGAATTCGTATGCACAACAGAACGATAACAAACATTAGTTATCTAGACGTAAGTAATGAGTTTTACCTGGTTTCATGCGTTTGTTTTCTTTCACCTGATATACATCATTTGTTCGTTTTTATCTAGATTATATTACTCGTTATTATTATTGTCAGTTGCCACATTTCTTTTTACATTCACAATACTTTGTATATATCTACAGTAATTTATTGTAGTTGATAAAGTAAATGATAAAAATAGAACATATCATGTTGCTAGGTAGTAGATTTTCATATGAATTACGTCAGCTTTCTCATTTCAAATCTATTTGTAAAACAACCTAAGAATAGACATGTTGTGACTAAGAATTCTCTTTATTTGTTTTATGAAATAAATATTTTATAGAAGGTTATCATATTTTGTAATTTTTGTCGAAGATTGCGTAATAAAGTCTATGATTCAGTTCATTTTGTTGTATTTATTGAGAAACATATAAACGCATCGATTGATTGTCTGAACCATTTTTATGCTTTTATTGTCTGTAGACATTGCTCTGCATCAGTATGTTTGAGAAATAAATATAGAAATGATCATACAAATTACTTCCTACATTATTACCTACTATTTCCATCCTAATCTAGCTAATCAGCTAGCAAAATATTGTTCGATATGATTCATCTTAGAGCTTCTTTCTGTTCTTTCGCCAGCACGAAAAGAACCTCATTTTTAGCGAATTTTTTAACTATTGTATAAGATACTGAGTATCCTATTCGTATACATATAATATTTCACGTTTTCATGAGAAAACGACTTAAACTGGAAAGAAGCAATATAATATTTCTAATGTTTTCAAGATTGATAACTGCTTACATATGATTTATCTAAGATATAAATGTCTTTTCGATTTGTTTTAGAAAGAGATGGCTTCTTAAGAGTGACCAGAAACAATATTGAAAAGAGAAGTTCAACTCGCCACAATCATGTTCAACAAAATGTCAATTAAAAACTAAGATTTATAATTTCTAAAAGAAGCCAAAATCATTGATGCATAATATTTTTGAAGGAAAGAGTAGAAACAATATGCACATGCATTGAGCCATTAGTATTCCGTTGAATCTTTCATCATATTTTTAGAACCAGTTCACATCAATAGTGAAAACCTTTACCTATCACAGCGAATAGGCAACTTTCTAAGCTGAAATAAATTTCATCCAACTGTAATTGTTTAGGAGAATATCTAATATATTGTGTCACTAGATGTATGTCATAAAAGTAGTCCGCTCGAGGAAAAGGTAATCTTTTTTTTTTAATAAATTGAAAAAAATCATTTCAGACTTTCCAACATTATTAATGCGCTGTTTGTTAACTTAATTTTTTCGCAACAAAATATGGGATGACTCATGGGAAACTTCGTTATTTTTTTTATTCTTTGTGTAAGGTGAAGCCGTTCACTTATTGACATTGTGACGTGCTTTTTTTGTTTCGTTCCTTTTTTCTTTCATTTTCTCTTTATCAAGTCAACAAATTGATGGCGTCTTCATCGTGTAAAAAACCATGTTCGATAGAAGATGGTTGCAAACAAGCAGCGATTATCACGTGTGAAGGATGTTCACATGCGTTTTGTTCTAAGCATTTCACTGATCATCGTAATCTACTCAATGATGAAATAAACAAAATCATTAGTGAACATGATGATCTGAAAAATTCACTTACTCAACAAACAAAAAATCCAACTTGTCATCCACTGATCAAACAAGTCGATGAATGGGAAACACAATCAATCTCAAAAATTCAACAACGAGCAAAAGAATTACGACAAGAGCTATCTGAATTAACGAAAAATGATACAAATAATTTATCACAGAAACTACAAGATTTAGCGAGAGAAATAAATGAATGTCGCGAACATGGTGATTTTCTGGAGATAGATCTTCGTCGTTGGAAAGAAACACTTGAAGATCTCAAACTAAATATAATTTCACCATCAAAAATAACTATCAATAGAGTGAATGAAAACACATTCATTCAGAATATCTCTGTGAATTTACAGAACAAGACAATAAACGACTTATTTGAGAGAGTATATGACAATTGTGCGCAGATTCAAGAAAATGGTCACATGGTTGTCCACGTCGGCTCTCATAAATACGTGGAAGTTCGTGGAAAGAATGAATACAGCTCAGGGGTTCACAAAATTCGGCTATGCATTGAAGATTGCCCAGGACAATGGCTATTTTTTGGAATCAATTCTAAATCAACTCCTCTTGCAGACAATTCTTATAATGCAAAGTCAATATATGGATGGAGCAGCAACAACTTTAGCTGGTCAAAGGGAGAATATAATAACATTACTTCAGTATATCCCATTGAGATGAAAAAAAATGATATTATTAGTTTGATACTTGATTGTGACAGTTGGAAACTATCAATGATCAATGAGCGTACAAAAGCAAATCATGAATTAACGATTGACATAAATTACTGCGCTTTACCCTGGCAGTTGCATATCATTTTGGTGAATGCAAAGACTTGCATACGCATTTTACCAACTGAGATTACATCTTGATCAATTATGGTTTCATTAGAAAGAATTGCAGTAGAAAATATGTGCACTACTCGTTCTTCTATTTTTGTATTTTCATATATAAAAAAGTATGGATAATAAGTTCATTGATTGAATATCCTAGATTGAAAGTTAACATATTTCATTTCTTGCATAGAATAGAACAGAAAGATATAAGTATAATTAATAAAATATAATTATTTTATCATTGATTTTAAGGCTCTTGAGTAGAAGCTGTGGAAAAAAGAGAATTCTAACAAAAGACTTTTACCAATAAAGAGAACTATATATTTTATTATGTAGATGCTCTTGTTCACATCAAAGGTTACAAGTTATTATCGTTGTTAGAATAATGCAGGAGTCTTATGATGAAAAATTCTGTCTGAATTTTTGAACATCAGGTAGTGTGCATATATTTCCGAGGATTATCTACAATCATACATGTTTTCTTACAGCTATGATTGAGATCCAGATATACGGTAATACTCGATTACAACAGATAGGTAAACTTTCTTTCTTCCAAGTAAATTTTTAGATTTCATTGAAATATTTATAAACAACTAATCCTGAAATGTTTGATAATGCTTATGAGACTAGCTGGCGTCACGGTAAAATGAAATAATATGACATGATGTATCTTTATATTAGCCTCAATTAGGATCATTATACAATTTCAATCATGAATGTAAACATTAAACGAAACAATGAGTTCAATCTCAACATAGAGAATTATTTTTTATCTTGGTAGTTATGTGTCAATTTATATCAATTCATCAGTCAGGATAATTATTTCTTCAATGGTTTATTGGTTTTTAGAAATATTTATTCAATGTAAATATGAAGGTAGTAATCGAAGTATTTTTCCCACTCTACTGTGAGAATATTGCGCACAATATTTCTAAAATGGTTAATATGTATGGATAATTCGTATCGTTTGATTTGAGATTCTAGGTGTTACATAAAAAACTAAAGGTTTTTTTTTCTTTTATAATTTATCCAAATATTGTTGAAGAGTATGGATGACTACCAAAAGCATGTTATATCTGTTAAATATAAATTAATCCTAAACAAAGCTAGGCAAGTATAGATTTGATCGACTACTAGTACTTGTTCAGCTCTGATAATGGAGAAAGATTCAGAAACACAATGGTATCGACGCTTATCTGAATATTTACATTGGAATATATTTTTTTCTTATGTTTCTACATGGTTGGTGTATTACCTATCCATAGGGTACAAACGTAGGTGTATTGCATGTCAAAATCAAATTAGAGGCATCATATTGATGATAAGATAGCCTTCTATTATAGTATGATGACTGCATATTACTAAATCATGTTTTTCCAATGAAAAAAAAGCCTGGAAAAATTTTTACCAACAATATTAAATGTATAATTATTTTATTTAGTGTTTATTGAAAAAAAAAGTGGAAAATTCAATGTTTTCAATTAATTAATCATGTATGATGTTCATCTCGACGTTGTAATCGAACAATGACTTGTTTTGGTGCTATGACAAAGGTTTCTGTTAATTGTTCAAATGATTTCTGTGTTATGTCACCACAATCGACTATTGAATATGTTTTGAGAAGACGAACAAGTGCCATTTTAAGTTCAATCAAAGCAAAACGCATTCCAACACAATTTCTTGGTCCAGCTCCAAATGGAATCCATGCCATTGCATGTCGTTTTGTAGCAAATCGTTCAGGATAAAATATATGCGGATCAATAGGACCCCACAAATCAGGATCATAATGTAAACTATACATATCAGCAGCAATCCGTGTACCAGCTGGAATCGTACCAATACCTTTGATATGAAAATCTTCTGAACTTTGACGATTGACTACTATTGGTGCAATGGGATACATGCGAAGTGTTTCTCGAATAAATATATCCAAGTAGACCATGTCAGATATTGTATCGTATGATGGCATATCATCTTGAGTTTCAGAAATGAAATTAGCATCGATCTCGTCTTGTAATTTTTGCTGTTCATTTGGATGAGTAGCAAGAACATAAGAAATATAACTAAGTGCTGTACTTGTTGTTTCATAACCAGCAATCACTGAAAGAAAAATGAAATTTAAAGAATAGAATTAGTAAATTTAATTCACTGAAGAGAAAAATATTGGATACAATTTCATGTTTAGTAAGTTTTCGAATGAGTGGTGGCTCGATTTCTGTTTCTTCATCGGTAACATCAGTTGCTCGACCATCCTAGAAAATAGTATCGACGAATAGTAAACGTAATGACAATAGATAGTCTTGTAGATTTTTCAGCTACAATAATTGATATCTAAGAATCAAACAAGTTTTCCTAAAATTTTATTCTTTGGTTTTTATAAAAGATTTTGTTAAGATATTTAATAACGAAAAAACGTCAAGAATACTTTAAAAGTGTGATATGTTTTGAAATAATTTCAAAATCTAAAAGATAAACGTATAACAATTATAGATCTTAAAGCTTAACACTTTTGCAACAAGGATCAAACTAATAATCCGATTTCAAATTTAATTTTTCACTTAGTCTGGATTACTTTATGACGAGAACTTATTTAACAAAATTGTTTTCAGTTTTTGACCTAGGATATTTGAAAGGATAAAAATCAAATGATTTTACTTTATGAACAACGCTGCATAAATAACAACAGCATACTTCTAGGACACTTCAAGAACTTTGATTCATGCATAGTCTTAGTACCATTGAGAGATTACTTCCTGAAGAACTCAGTAAATGTCTATTATAGAATGTTTGATGAATAAATTTGAATCGATTAAGTTGGGTTGATGCTTTAAAAGAAAACAAAATCATCATACTTGAATTATTTCTTCATTCGATGCTGACTCTAACATCAATTGTAATAGATCAGTACGATTTGCTTGACCAGCTTCTAGATGTTTTTCCATCATTTTGTACGCTTGTTTCATAATCCATGTTGGAGGGTTTTCATTTATGAATCGTTTTGTTATTGGAATATAATGACGACACCAATAACTAATAGAACCTATTGATATATAAATAGCTCTCCAAAATTTATTCAATTCACTAATAAACAATGCTATAAGAACAATTAATCGAACATTGACTTTTTCACCGAATATTTGTTGAGAATAAATTAAATATGGATTATTAATATTATTTTGCATATCTGTATCAATACCAAAAGCACATGACCATATAGTATCCATGGTAAATCGTTTATAATATGCATAGATATCAAATGGTTGACCTTTATTAGATTCTTCAGACATTTTTTTCATGAACGTAAGAACACTTCGATGAATGAGTGGTGTCATTTGTTTAAGTTTAGCTGATGAAAATGTTGGATTAATAACAAACCGTTGTCGTTTCCAACGAAGTCCTGACGCAGTAAACATATTTACTAGTTTTGCATTTTGATCAGACAATGGGAAAAGTCTTCGAGAATGAAAATTTGAAAATGATTTAATAAATACATCTTGTAATATATCAGGATCAGATATAACTAAAATTGGTGTATGTCCTTCGAAGTAACCAAAAATACGACCATATTTTCCTGTCCATTTTTTGATGGTTAAAGATAATCGTCTAGTTTTGATAATCTGTAGAAAGTTCCCAAAAAAAAGTATTGGTGGGGGACCAGGAATATTAAGGTTTTTAAAAAATTCATAGGTTGGTCGAATATGCCATAAATAAGTAATAACTGTAATTAGAAGTAATGCAAGTAATATGCTTGTAAGTAAAAACATATTTTATTTCTCGTACGTTTGACAAAAACACGTTTCTTTTTCTCTTTGTTCTTTCTGTAATGCCGGCGATTCGCACTTGCTGTTTTTGCTTTCTTTTGTTTTGACTCGCATTTTCTACTGCTCCCTTCATATTTTTTTTATTTCGCTCGTCCTCTTCATACAATAATTGTCGTCAGAGTTACATTAAGACATATTTTGCACTAAGTGATGCTAGTATAGAAAAAAATGCACGTGAAAGGTAGAATTCGATCTAACACGTGATCCTCAGTTTTTTAATAATACAAATTTCTTATGAAAAGATAATATTTATTTAGATTCAATTAAATGAAATAATTATATATAGTATTTATTCGAAAGGAAATTGTATAAAATTTATTAAGTCTATATAAAGATTAATTATAATGTTCATTTCGACGTTGTAAACGAACAATAACTTGTTTTGGTGCAATTACGATATATTCTTTGAGATTTTCGAATGGTTTACATGTTTGATCACCACAACCGACTATTGAATATGTTTTAAGAAGACGAACAAGTACCATTTTGATTTGAACAAAAGCAAAACGCATTCCAACACAATTTCTTGGTCCAGCTCCAAATGGAATCCATGCTATTGCATGTCGTTTTGTAGCAAATCGTTTTGTAGCAAATCGTTTAGGATAAAATATTTGTGGATCAATAGGACCCCACAAATCAGGATCATAATGTAAATGATGTCAACTGCAATACATGTACCAGCTGGAATCGTACCAATACCTTCGATATGAAAATCTTCTGAACTTTGCCGATTGACTACTACTGGTACAATGGGATACATGCGAAGTGTTTCTCGAATAAACATATCTAAATATTCCATTTGTGATACTGTATCATAAGATGGCATATCATCTTCTGTTTTAGGATCGAAATGAATATCAATATGTTCTTGTAATTTTTGTTGCTCCTTTGGATGAGTTGCAAGAACATAAGAAATATAACTAAGTGCTGTACTTATTGTTTCATAACCGGCAAGCACTAATATTCAAAAACAGTATAAAAAAAAATCATCAATACTTAACTTTAGAACTACTGAATAGATAAATGTTAGATGCAATTTCATGTCTAGTAAGTTTTCGAATTAGTGGTGGCTCGTTATCTTTCTCCTCTTTTTTCACTGCAGATGTTTGACCATCCTGAAAAGCAACAATAGTTAACTTTGTGCTTTTTTTCTTATATAAAAAAAAAACTTTGAGTATCATACTTGAATAAAATCCTCGTTCGATGCTGATTCAAGCATTAATTGCATTAAATCAATTCGATTCATTGGACCAACTTGTTCACATTTTTCCATCATCTTATATGTTTGCCTTATAATCCATCTGTATGGTTCTTCTTGAATAAATTTCTTTGCTAATGGACACATACATGAAAACCGGTATCGTATATTATTGTTCATATGATGAAATTTAATCCAGACATTACTTAATTCTTTGATAAACACAGATAAAAGTACAAACACTTTGACAGCATTTTCTTCATCGAATACAGTTTGTGAATAAATTAAATATGGATTATTAATATTATTTTGCATATCTGTATCAATACCAAAAGCACATGACCATATAGTATCCATGGTAAATCGTTTATAATATGCATAGATATCAAATGGTTGACCTTTATTAGATTCTTCAGATATTTTTTCCATGAACGTAAGAACACTTCGATGAATGAGTGGTGTCATTTGTTTAAGTTTAGCTGATGAAAATGTCGGATTAATAACAAACCGTTGTCGTTTCCAACGAAGACCAGTAGCGCTAAACATATGTACTCGTTTAGAATGTTGTTCTTCAAGTGGGAAAGGACGGCGTGAATGGAAATTAGAAAATGACTTAATAAATATATCTTGTAATATATCAGGATCAGATATAACTCAAAATTGGTGTATGCCCTAGGAAATAACCAAAAATACGACCTAATTTTTCTGTCCATTGTTTAATTGAAATTGATAATCGTTTACTTTTAACGATATCGAAAAAATTACCAAAAAAAATAATTGGTGGTGGACCAGGAATATTTAATCGTTTGAAAAATTCGTTGATTTGTTGGAGATGCAAAAAATACGCAACGACAACAACTAAGAGACCAGTAATCAGGATGCCTGTTAGTACTAACATTGTCATTTTGACTGCAACTAGTAATACTTGAGCAAAAACAATCGTATGCTCTCTAGAATAAGGCCATACGCTTTCTTTCGTTCTATATCTTGTACGTATCAGGTTCCTTTTTTTGACGTTTTATGTAAGACTCGGTTCTTTTTTAGTATGTACTTGCACAACATTATCTTTATTACTTTTCAAAATAGTTTCTTTATGATAAAATTATTTGAAAATAAACCTATTACAAAATAATATTATAACCCCAATTTGATGCAAGACTAGTAACTATTAAAGCAAGCATATTGTTAATTATATGATTTGTTTTCGTATTCTGACCAAATAGAATTTGATCATTTATAGATGTTATTTGTTTATAGTAGATATTCTTTTGTTTGTTATAATAAATTTTCAAATTTTTTTTTTCATGAAAATTTATTTTAACTTATATTTTACAAGTGAATTTTTGGTATTATATCAAATACATTGTTTTTTCTATAAATTAAACTAGTATATTGATATATTAGACGTGATATCCGTTATGTTTGTTCGTGATTTATTAAAATGAAATGATTCTGATGAAATATTTGTCAAATTTGTTATTTAACACTTATTTTGTTAATCATGAATTAATTAAACTAGATTTTTTCATATATTTTACATTCATTTCTTCAAACCTTGTTATTAACATATATTTTATTGTAATGCTATGATCATCACATTTTATTGTAAGAAACATATTTTGAGATTGAAATAAATTTTTTTCTAATTTAATGCGACCTAAATGAAGAGAGTTATCATTTTTAGCATAAAAATTTGAAAGAAAAACGAAATTTACCATAATATGATACACGTAAATCAAAAGTACATGCAATCTACAATAAGCTCTCTCAGTAAAAAGATATGATAGTTGAATTAATTTTTTAGAATTGTTTTTTTTCTGATTGCATTATTCAGTGATAAAATCATATTATTGGTAATCAGTTCTAAAAAAGACTTGAACGTCTATTATCAATAGTAATTGAAAAGTAATCTGACGTACATTTTGAATATGATAAAATTATTCTGTTTGTTCATTTTTATTTGTATTGATATTAAGTTGGTCGATATTAGAATAAGAAACATATATATTGTCAGTAAGTTTGCTTAAAACTTATGCATATTAATATTAAAATCTAATTAAAGTTATCTGTGATACCATTCGTTCCAAGTTACATATGAATAAAAATCTAAAATTTATTCATGAATATTCAAAATATGAAAAGAAGAACTTTCAAGACATACCTTCAAGTGTATGCGTCAGTTTTTGCCAAAACACTTACTTAGGATTATCATAATCAAGTGAATTTAAAAAATCAATAGCTAACTGATAGTTTAAAAGAATCATTTGTAAAGCTAGAATAAATTATTCGAAATCAAATTGATGCTACATATTTGTTTGTTCACTAGCATCAACGATTGTATGACGCATAATCATATAGTTAAGTCTAACTTCTCCATTAAAATCTGTACTACCAGCTTAGTCTTTTTATTTATAAAAATACGCTTTTAATTTGAGAAAGAACAACTACGATGCATATATGCCATTTGCTATTGTTCTATTAATACGAAACTGTATTTCAATATATTTCATACGGAACAGAAGCAACATGACTAGTTGAACTCAATATTGGTATAGATATTGGATAAAAAGCATTTATTAAAATGAACAAATTGAACATGAAGAAGATTAAAAGAATCATACTTATGTATTCATTATTTGGGAAATAACCTTTCAAGAGAAAAACAGTATAGGATACTTCTATTGTAATTTGATCGAATGAGTTAATTTTTCTTTCGAATGATGGGAAGAATTTCAAGTTTTTATTCATCATCAAAAAGTTTATTAATATCGCTTATAAATATTATTAAAAGAGAAAAAATAAACAATAAATTTTAGGCTTCTGTAAAATTGTTCGTTGTTTAAAGAATTTTTTTACTGATCATTTCTATGAAAAAGATTTTCGATTTTGATCGGCAACTTGATAGTGTTGGATTCAACATAGTTAAAGCCATCAAATAGCTCTGGAGTCGAATACATCAACGTAGAAGTTCTCAAATTTCTGCATTGTTTATAATTAATTACCGGTGAAAGTATCCATAAAAAAAACAAAACAGTTAATGGTGTTCGTTTTCAAGTGTGTCAATAAACTTCTAATGTTGCTCTGTAATCAGGAAAACTAATTAGTTCAATCCGTCAAAATACAATGCTTATATCGGATTATTTTTTTTTTTGGTAAGATCATTTCTGAGAAACTCCGTGTATATTTTTATTTGGCAACTACTTGAATCAATCAATTAGTTATATAGTTGATATGATTGAATCAAATCGTGCATATATTACTAATTTTCATAGATCATTATCATGAATAGAAAGATTCTGTTTTGATTCATAACAAATATTAAGAAAGACAGTATAATTAGTGAAAAGTAAACGACCTTCTTGTATGATCAAATCTTGTCTTTTATTATGACAAAGAAAAGAAAAGTAATATATAATAATAGATAAAAATAAACGAATAATTAGAAAGTAATTGGAAATAATCTATGAGTTGGTGGTGCAGTCAAATCTAATAAATAGAAAAAAAAAGAAAATACAATTTAATTGAAGAAGAAAAAAGATATTCAAACTTACCACTTTCAAACCGAACATTTATTGGACGATTATAATTTTTAAGAATATCTTCTGCTGTTCGAAAGATTGGTTGTTTAAGAAGAAAATTTATATTTACTTTAAAAGAGAAGAAAATGTTAATAATATAAACTCTTCTATTTTTTGATTACCTTGATTAGGTAATAAATCAGCTCGTTGTTGATCAAAATTTGCAAGAACATCACCTGATCGTTCCTTTTTATATTAAAAAAACAAATATATGTAAAATAATATTAAATATTCAATTATTACATTTCGTTGTCGTTCTTCAGCTTGATATCTTGCTAATCTTAATAATTTCCCAAGAACTTCAAGAGCAATTGCTTCTGGTGTTTCAGCTGGTTGAGCATCAAGATCTTCGACAGCTAATTTAATACTTTTAAATGACCAATTTGGATAAAGTCTTGTTTGAATCTAAAGTAAAATAATCATAATTTTAAATGTAATTATTTTCAAAGATATAAACATTATAAGATATATTAAGAATTGATGCTTCTCGTATAAGGCCATCACGACTATTAATCGATTGATTAAGATCTTCAAGAATAGATTTCATTGCTGAATTTGTTATTTCAAGATAATGAACGAAAAGAGTTGGAAAAATAAGTAATAGACCAGTAGCCGGTTGAACACTATCGTCTTCAGGTGTATTATGTTGATGATTATCGAAAGTTTTTTCAATCGTAATTGGTAAAGAATTTATAAATTTTTGATAATAATCTATGAATAAAAATTGAATAAATTCAAAGAAGATAAAAAAAAAACAAAATTCAAGAATAATGCAAACCTCCAAGTTCCGGTTGTTTATCCCAAGCATCTCTTAAACGACCAATAATAACAATATTACTAAGAAATGGAAGCTAAATACAACATGTATTCTTTTTTTTTTTTTTATTTCTAATAAATATTTTTTAAAATATGATATACTTGTTTTTCTTTGATATGCTCGAATAATGTTTGAATAGGATATTCATGATGATCAACAGCACCACCACCACTTCCTACTGATAAAATTCGGTTAGGTTTTTGATGATTACGTGGTTGAGCCATGATATTTAAGTTAAATGCTTAATTCACATTGAATGTCTAATATTACCATCATTTTGTTTTACAATGTCATAGTAACTGACTCTATAAAAATTGATTAGGACGACCTCTATCGTTAGGCTAAATTTCACTAATGCTTTTTGTGTACCGATCAAAAAAAATGCTCATTAACATATTCATTTACAATCTATGTTATTTCAAAATAAAATTCTGAAAAAAATCCTTACAACAAATTTCACTTTCTGTTTTAATTAATTTATTAAGATTTAGTTGTCTTGATAGAAAAGTTTGTTTCATAGACAGATTATGTCATGATTAACTAGGTAACATTGGGTGTATCTCGTTACAATGAACATACTTTATGGCATATGTAACTATTTCCGATTGTCAACGCATTATATATCCTGTTGTTTCGAAATAGTCAGTAGTCATCTGTCGTGAAAGGTTTAATATATATATATAGACGAACGTCTTGTCAGATCTTCATTTTATTTTTTATTATGCCAGCCCGCTAGTCTTAAACAAATGTTCATGCTAAGAAATGTTAAATGGTCTTCACTTCAATATTGTGTATAATTGAACAAAATTTATTTGAAAGAACACTACAGATTTCAAAATTTTATTGAATTAAGTTATGCTTTTCGCTCAAGCGAGTCATGATCTGTCATACATATATTCGACTACAGAATAAAGTAAATCATTCTTGTAATTAACATTTATTTGAGATCAAATGATTAAATGTAGAATAGGCAAGTAGAAAAGCGAAAGTCTTTTTGTTCAGAATTAAATCATTCGGATAGCATTCTATAAATATATATGTCAGTCTTTTAATATTTTGAAACATTTTTTTATCATATTACTTTTTATCATTTGCAAAATTGAATATGTCGTGTTCCTCTTACTAATGTTGATGCCGTTCTCTATTTGCTTTTTTGTATTCAAGTAGAATGAGAACCCTAGAGGCTATTACACAGTAAAAAATCCATCGATCATTCAATTGAGATATCTCACTTGAGAACATCAGTTTTTCCTGTCATCATTAACATTTGAAAACTAGACAATAGTTCAATATTCGAAAACAAAAGAAAAAAGAAAAGATACCTGTTGCATAATCTTCTATATGCTAATTTCTTCGTTACGAATTTCCATATTTTGTTTAAGAAAATTTCTATCATAACGATCATTCCATTATTAGTTTGTCTTATTTCTTAAAGCATCCATTTAACGTAAGTAGTATAATAAATAATTCATCAATTATAATTGAAAACTATCTTGATACTGTGACAAGATAATAGATATAATTTTGGTGAAAAACAAAAATAAAGAATATTTAATTTGAAAAAGAACACACAATAGCGACTGCAAATGCACTAAATACAAATTAATTATTTTTTTTCTTTTTTTTCTCATCTACCGATACAAATCAATGTCGATAAAATTGACTATACCGAATAAACTACAGTTTTATCGGTAGTGCAAGCATGCTTTCCGAACGACACACAATCGTTATTTTCTTGAAAAGAGAGACAAAATTCTTTTCCGGTTTTTTTTTCCTCGATAAAACTAGAATATGAGAGAGAGGGCAAGATATATATATATATAGATATATATATAGAAAACAAATGGGGACTAGTATGTGCTTTAGCTCTTTTTTTCATAAGAGAAACATGCAGTATCACTATTGAAGACAATAGCACACATATAGAATGACGGAAGTCGTAACATATTTTGAAACAGACATTTATGTTCTACGGAATGGCACGTGGTTAGGATTTATTTGAATTTACGTTTTAGATAATTCTTTTCTTCTATATAATTTCTTTTTATTTAATAAGAAAACAAAATGTCGACAACAAAAAGTTCATTTGATGATCTTCGATCAGAATTTGATCGTCTTGACGAAGTAAGATGAATAATTAAAACTAAGTTTGATAGAAAATTTTTTTGTTTGTGTATTTTAGGATAAAGATGGTTTCATAACTTTACAAGAATTTCGTGCATTTCATTCGAAAACAACAAAAGATGATTCCGCTATAGTCAAAGCTTTTGCTGCTATTGATTCGGATAAAGATGGTCTTGTAACATTTGAAGGTATTGAAAATAGAAATAGATATATTTATTTTGAGATAAAAAGTTTTAATTTTCTTTTTTAGAGTTTCAACGTGCATATAAAGATTAATATAGAGATCAATTTAAACTATGAATAGACACTTTCTTCCTTTTTTTTATCGTATGTCACCTGCACGTCACTTTTCCGTGTTTTGTTTGTCGATCTTCATTATATATTAATGATTACAATATAAAAAGTGTTTTTTTTTCTTCAGTTACACGTTATAATTTTCGTCATAAGTCACATATTATTCACTTGCTTAGTATATATGCATGTATTTATAAATATATATATATATCTTTCCTTCAATGCACTATAAATATATTTATTGAAAGAATAAGATCAATCTTCAATAGAACCAAAAAGACGAACATGAACTGTGCTATCTATCTAATGGCATCTTCAAGGTCTAGTTGCATTAAAAAAAAAAGAAGAAGCGAAACATGCAATGGAATCAGATGCCATATGATTATCCATGTCATTAGAACAAAGTGCTGACTCGTGCACTACTTTCGATAAAAATAGAACTGTGTGTTAATGTGCAACATGTCAAAGCTTGACGCTAGCTATTAAAATAGATAAGACAATGAAACAAAAGAAGTGTCTTAATCAAAATAAAAGTTTAGCATGTGTAATATGGAATAGATCACTTTGAAAATAATAAACCGAATCTAATTAATTTGTTGAAACAAATAAAGAAAAGTCGTAATAGATCATATTGTTCTTTAGTGATTGATGTTTTGTTAGATTTATACTTTAAGAACAAAATAAGAAAATTCATTATAGTTTTTCTTATAAAAAAGAACGGACCTTATTTAATCATTTATTAGTACGAGAAGGACGTAGACGAAATAGAGCAAATAAACAAAAGTAAATATTTAAGTATATCATCTATCGGGATCAGTATGTAATAATGAAGAAAAAACATGATATGCGGATAAAAAAAATAGATGTATTCGAGTACTCGAATGAATTGTAGAATAGAAAAATAAGACAAAGAAATAAAGCATACAATTTGTTCGGAAAGAGTTTATTTAGTATAAATTCAATAGTAGTAAGAAAAATTTCGAAATAAACAAAAAAATTCTTTTATAGTCTAGTCTATTTTGAAATAATACGATATTTAAATCATTGTATGATTTATTCAATTCATTGGCCGTCTTTATCTCACTAGAATGAATAACACAAAATAATTTTAAGAATAGATAATTGAATATCGTTCGTTATAGTGATTTTTGATGTTGTGAACTTTGACTAATAATCTTATATAGTTGATAGATAGCTTTAAAAGATTATATATATAATATAATTGATTAACAATGTATGGTCTTTTTTATTTTTTTTTATCTGTACGAATTTTTTTGCTTATATAATGTCATACTTCAAGAAATTTTGATTCATCTATGTATCTATCGTATTTGTAATCTGAAAAATCTTCTTTAAAATGTTTTGCTTCTACATGTCTAACAATTGATATAATTGTGAAAGTAAAATTTTGATCAAGAATTTTATCTATAAATCGCATTATTTTTTGTTATATAACCTACGTAAGTTTTATTTTTTATGTTGGAATTTAACTTTAGAATCTTTTCATACATGTCAAACAAAATATCATCTCATTAGATTTCTAATCATATGAAAAAAAATTCCTAATCATCATATTTATAATGATAACACTGTTATCTTTCAATGCAACAATCGGCTCATATTCATTGCTATTTCGTCGTAAGACAAAAAAATGACATCATCACTATGAGCAGCAACACACTCATTATCTTGAGCTATTCAATTGATATATATATACGTACAGTTCTATTATTATATAATAAGCGAAAGAAGAAAAAAAAAAGAATTTTTATATTTAAATAGACTGAAGGTGTTATATACATAAGCAAAAATATATATCTTAACGATTGAACAAATGCCAATTGCAACAGTGAGTATTTAAATATATTTGAAAAGAAAAGAAATTTAGAAAAAGCTTTTTTTTTAAGATTGAAACAAAATCTGTAAAAATTGATGATGATTTAACTGATTTATCATGGCTTATACAAATGAATAATAATAAACAACCATTTTCAATATCAAATGTATATAATCATGAAAATAGAAACAGAAAAATTGAACGAATAAATAAACCATTTGCTGTTGTAAATGGTCAAACAATTCGTCCATCAATACCAACATTTTCTCATGATCATCAATATTCAAATGAAGAAAATCAATTCTATCCTCCTCAATCATTAAATAATCAAACGATGAAACGTAAATTTGATTCATCATTATCATATCATCATCAACCAAAACGTTTTCAATCTGAACAAATTCTTCCAATATATCCAACATCATCATTATCATCTGAATCATTCTACATTGATCGTCCATCATTTTGTACTCAACAACGAACATTTATTCCAACAACATCACGACATATGTTACTCAAAAATAATCCATCACTTTCTGATACAATATCAACTGTTCATATGTCAAAAAATTTAAATGAATCAATGGAACTGATGGAACATAAAAATATTTATTCCGATGATATTGAACATTTATTAGATATATTTAAAAATGAAGTAGAAATGATTGGACTGGATCCAATAGCAACAACAAGCGCAGGTGATTGTGTTGTTGATTTCGGTCATTGTTTACCATCAAATGAATTTAGTCCTTATTGATTTATGTACATTTTTTGTTAAGCTATAACATAAATAAAAAATCCATGTTTTTTCTTGTTCATTGTAAGTTCAGATAAATCAATTCTATTTCATGGAATTAATGTTACATACTGCGTCTCTTTCAAACATTTGCTGTGGGAATTTACGAATTCATTTAAATACACATGGTTGAGACTTCATGCAGTCACTTTTTTTTTTTGATTCATGAAAATAAATATGTCGAAATGAACTCATTTCTCTATAAAAACAGCAACGCTTTGGATCAAATGACATTTCTCTAATCACGACGATGCAACAACTTCTGATTTAGTAGTGGTACCACTGTAATTAATTCGGTCATGATAAATCAATTATATGATACAGTTTTATCTCTAGATATATTGTCTGCATTGTAATAGGTACTAAGATGAGCATCTAATATGAGTTCATGAGCCGCGTCGTATTTTTTTTGCTCGTTTCTTCAAACCTTCATCTCCAAAAATTTTTGGTGATTTAATTTGTGCTGTTTTTTTTATGAATTTCGTCATAGGTTAGGAACAAATCGATACACAGCTTTCAGCGTGTCAATGCTGCCCATCACAATACGGCCAAGCAAAAGCAAAGCCATGGTCAACAAATTTCGACTGCGAATGTTTGTTGATGGCAATGACTAGAGGAGGAATGTGTACCGATACAGTTGTGTTATGTAAAGATTTGATTCCATATGAAAATGATAATAAAACATGTTCGGTACCTAATACTTTATATGTCAATAACGCTCACTGCAGCATTCCTGTTTTTTTTCCGATGGATCGTGCATCTTCTCAACGATGTTCACCGTTGACTTCAGGAACTCTAATCACCACTAAGGATCGATATCTTTAACTAGGATACTAATGAATATTCTCTCAAGGAATGCGGTGATAAAATTTTTATCCTTAGTTGATGTAGTATTCAAAAGTGAAAAAAATGTTTGTTTATACCTTGCTAGCATAGATTTTTGAGTCTAATGACACTATCTTTAACTTAACTGTTATGAATATAAAAAGAGATATATGCAGATGTTTCTAAATGGACTTGAGAATGTAACGATCTGTCGAGAAAAGTGTCTTCCTTATATGTAAAGGTAGTTTAACAATTATTTGATGAGTGTTCGATACAACAATGCTTTCCCATGGCTCGACATTCGATGGTTGCTGAGGAGCTTGAAATTCAAACAGAACGCGAAAAGAAAATATATTTTCAAGGTTCGACCACTCACTGCACTCATCGTTGACTTTTTAAGGTTTGCTTCGCATCGATAAATTAACAAAGCATCTTTGTATCATTTTTATTTAAAAGATGAGAATGAAAAACAATTCAATAAAATAAGAAAAAATTTAATGATTTAAATAAAAATTATACTAATAATATAAAGGAAGTTAGCAGCCGATTCGAATTGTTTTTCAAACGAGTCGTCCCATTGACTAAGTCAACTGAGGCATGCAATGAGCCAGATGCAACTTGGCGAGTTCTATCGAACAGAAGCTAATAAGACATGCTGGTTTAAGACACCAGATCGCTGCCATAGAAGAACACGAAACTGGTGTTACATGAAGCTCTGTTTCCGATTGTTATATCTACGGGTATTCGTTTGAGTATCTTGGCCATTCATGATTCCTCTACTGTTTGATACGGGTGCGAATTCTTGTTGGATTGCTATAAGCAGAGGCAAACAGGTGATTCTGTGGCGTTGGAACCAAGTTGAATCAATGAAATTACTGGAAATCAATGGAATCATTCGAAATCAATGAAAGCGCTTGGAAGCAGTCAGTAAAGTCGCTACGAATCATTTGGAATTATTCGAAATAACCTGAAGTTACTTAAAGTCCATGCAAACTAGCAAAATCAGTTGAGGGTGACAAGTTTATTCTTACATAAACTGTTCCTAGTAGAGGTTTCATCTGTGTATTCTATTGATACTAGTGTCTCAAAGACGATTCTCACCAGCACAACCAGCTGTTCCGCTCGAGTTATTGATTCAGGATATCACAAAAATCATTGTTCATTTTCGTTTGATTAAGAGAGAACATAGAACCATTCACTAATACTAGGTAATATATAAAGTGTTCATAAAACGAATAGTGTGTGGAATAAAGTAGTGGTGTCTATAGGGATAGAGAGCACAGGAAACAGTCTTATTTATGTCCGATTGACTAAAATGACGAAGACGGCAGCACATTATCTTGATAAGTTTTCCTCATTGACCATGAAAAGAGTAGCAAAAATCGCGATATAGAAGTAGATGCTTCCCGTGGCAAGAATCATTTAAAAATCACTCGAAATCTAACGAATCACAGAATCAGCTGTTGCTTCCGTGACTATAAGATTATTAGTGGCTTATACACTTATCCATATCGTTATTAATAAAACAGTGCAAGATATGACTTTTGACGGTCCTTTAAAACGTAGCTGCTCACTAGAGAAGTTTCGAGGATTGGATTAACACTATCTGATAGAGCTCGGCGAGTTGCATCTAGCTCACTGCCTATCACAGTTGGCTTAGTCAATGAGGCGAATTGTTTTTAAAAAAACTCGAATTGACTGCTAACTTCTCTTATATCGAACAACAAAAATAAGAACCGACATCTCTTTGGTTTTGTCAACAACAAAATGAGACAGGTCAACTTAGATCAAATTATGAGAAAATGAAATGAAATTATAGTTTTTTTTTCTCATTTGTTTTTGTATTTTTACCTTATGTTCGAAACATGATTATAATGGGCAAACTAAAACGTAATAACGATATTCGATTCTTTATACATAGAAATTCATATTAAGAAAGTACTCATAATAGAAGATCCCTCTGAAAAACTAAATACTTAAATATACTAGAAGACTCAGGGTGTCTTATTGTGTGCAAAGGTATTTTTACCTATTTTCGACATCATATTTGCTGGCAGTTTTATTTTCATAATATAAATTTATGTCAAAGTAGGTTAATAAAATATGATAACTAGATTACGATGAATTATGACAAAAAATACTACTCTAGTGCATCTCATCACAAAGTAAGTCTTTGGAATCAATAAAGAAGTGCTTGATTCGCATGCTCAATATTTTGAAAACACCTATAAAAAAAAACCTTCAGCAACAATCTTACTAAATGATAGAGAAAATTTTCTATCTATATGTCAGTAAGAAGTTCTCTGCTGAACCGAATCGAACTGACCATTTACCATTACTGTTTACAACTTAGGAATAAATTATACTCTTTTTGATTCTCTCTCATAATGGAAGCTCTCGAAGGCTTCTATATGATCTTGCACACTTTGGCCAGGTCTTATCGGTAAAAATACAAAGTTTGCTGAAGAGATATCTCCAACGAAGGATCTCTAATGAGAAGACCTGTACGATGAGAACGAGCTTATTATCATACTAGAAGACTACAAGGTTTGAAAACCGCTTCTTATATTGATTTGAAACGCAAGATGTGTATATATGATCATTATGCGCATCTGAGCCGCCGAGGTACAAAATTAGTTCGCGCGAGTGAATATTCTACATGTGTTTCTTGGATTTTGATGATTTCACCAAAACGCATAGGAAAGAATTCAAATCTTTTGAGTTCAAAGAATTATTTAGACACTCTAGAGTCAAAATAGCATATCAGGGGCAGAATTCGTGATGTTTTTTTTTTGCATATTGACTCATTCGTAGCTGCCGAGAGCTTATATTCAAATATTTTTGTGTAGATTTTTTCTATTCTGTCTAAGAAACTAGTTTTAATGTAATCTGATGATGTGTTCAGCCAAAGAATAGGTAAATTACTGTCAATTGTAAGGCAACGCAACTAATCTATTGATCGATGACCTCTGCAGATAAAACCGAAATACATGGACCACTAGCCGATATTCACAACCACCGAATATCAAACATTACTCGTGCAGTAATTTTATTAATCAAACAATACCTTCACACACTTTGTATACTTGAGAGCGCCACGAAAACAAGAATCCAACCGAAAGACACGTGCACCCAAAGACTGATTGTGAGTGCCGTAGAAATCCTGATATAAGCGAATAAAACCGATACCCTAGCTGCTAACAAGTATTGATGGATATCACTTAGAGGAACAACATTATTTTTAAATCAGCTATGGAATACCTTTCGTATTTCTCAACTCTGACATATTTTCAGGACTTTTATACAGTATTATCCAATTATAGACTTGGTAGAATAATATATAGATTGTAAAAGTTGATGCATTTCAACTTAAATTTCTAAGCTCGTAATCGAACAATAACTTTAAATGTATTTGAAAAATCCAAGCACACATTGTGCATATTTATTACTAGCCAAAATAATAATAATGATAATAAAAGCAAAGAAAAACAATCGAGTATGACATTATCATCGATCCATCAGAATTCAAAAAAAAAAACGTTGACAAATCAGATCTATAATTTCTCATCTAACTCAAGCACATATTGAAAGAACAGTATTTTTCTTTTGTAAAAATACTGATAAATATAAATATTGCAAATATTAAATAGATACTAATCATATGCACATAAAAGAGGTTATTGACAATTAATAGAAAATAGAAAAATAAATAAACTAGATTACAACTCGAATGAGTACACAAAAAAGAACAACGCGAAAGCATCTTTTTTTTGTTTTGTTTTAGAACAATAATTTTGTTAATGGAAGATCATCAAATATTTTATCATCATCAAATTGTTGTACACTATGTTCTAATGTTATAGCCGCAAGTTCTTTAAGAAATTCATTGAATACAACAGCACAATAAGCTATATTACGTGTTTTTGGATCATCCCATTCATTTAGTGGTATACTTTCATAATTATCACGAATATTGATAAATCTAAAAATGATTAAAAAAAAACTTATTGAAATATTTTTTTAAATTTATTTTTATTTATGTTTACTTCATTGATGTCTTATCAATTAATGTTACTTGAGAATGATCACGTTCTTTTATATTAGTAGCTGTTCGTTCCGAAGCACGACTACGACCA